TCTTTCCCTTTTTTCTTTTATTAAAAATATTCCATGTAAGGTATAAAAATAACTTGTATTATCTTAATTTTATTAAGAGTTTCTCTAGTAAGCCAATCTTACTGGTAGTGTTAGTTTCTAACCGTTAGATCAAGTCAACACATCAGATTCAAAAATATGCAGAACAAACAATTTCTAATACAAATCTAACGGCTAACAATAGAAAACTACCGGTAGTTTATTTTTTCTAGTCCTACCAGAGAAGCATAATTTTTTTTTAACTTTAATGTGATTTTAACTATACTTAACATTCAGAAACATATATTATCCATAGGAATCCTAACTACATCTAAAGTTGTATTGTTTTATGAGGTGTTTAGTACAATTATCCCCGAACTTGTCATGGTTTAGCGAATTATCCCCTAAATTTTTAATTTTTATAATCAACCCCCTAAACTTATAAAATTATTGAAATGTGCTCATTCACTAAATTTGCTCAATTTTTTTATAAGATTTAAGGGATTAAAAGTTAAGAAATCGAAAGAATTGTGTTACATTTAAATTGAGATGTTATAATTTTTGGACGAACGTGTTTTTTTGACCTAATTTAACACAATCATCGTTAAAATGGGGCATATTGCAACAGTTTTACAAGTTAAGAGAACAACTTACTAAAATTAAAAGTTCAAGGGGTAAGTTGCTAAAACTATAGAAGTTCATAGGGTAAATGTGTAAAACACCCTTATTTTATGATAATCTTGCTTGCTTTTTTTTAACCAAAATTTTATTAATAGTTAACAAATTACAAAAATAGTTGCAAATGACCACAACTTATAAGAAATTTTGATCCCAGATAGTAACTGGATCCACCAGTAAAGACGGATGAAGCACAAAGATGAACACAAGTATCGAGACCTAATGAGAAAAAATCCACTCGGCACAAATAAAATTGAGCGCAACCAAAACTCGTTAACAAGAACTACTACAATCGATGGATAATTTTGCTTCCTTTTGATAATATATAAAAGAGTTAATTACATATAGATTTATTTTTCAATGGATGAAAAAAAGTATGTCCATGGTGATATTTGCACATAATTAATCCGAATGAAATAAGTAATTATATTTGCACCCACCAATTCATAACTTACATTAATTATAATTTAATCTTACAATAAAATTACATTAAACCCATTAACATACCCCCACATTAATTATAAATAAAAATAAATATTATTCATACACCCAAATTAACTATGGCTTAGTTTAGTAGTGCTGTAGATTTTGGAAAAATTGCTTTTAGTTGTGTTGAAGAAAAAAGCAGTTGTTACAAAAAGCAGCTGAGTGTTTGGTAAATTATAATTATAATAGCTGTGCTGCTTCCAAAATCAGTGTAATAGCGTTTGGTAAATTATAAGATTGAATTGCTGTGGATAGTAAAAAATTATGATTATATTATATTATACTATAATATAATATATATAATTATAATATAATATATATTTATTATTATATTTAATATAATACAAAAAAAAAAACTATTATTATATAATA